AGCCTTGGCCGGCCCTGTTATGCCCTACTACGGCTGGTGAGATTTGCTCGGTTCTGTTGGGCTTTCCTAAGCCTTGCTAATCCCTGGTGGGCCCCTAAGTCTGGATAGACCTGGCCACGGTGTGCTCAGTCTAGCTAAGCCTTGGTAGACTGTGCTGGGTCATGCTAATCTCTGCGAAGCATTGCCGCTCAGTGGCAATCTTTGCTGAGCCTCGCTAAGCCCAGCTTGGTCCTTCTCAGCCTTAGCACGTTGTGCTAAGCCATGATAAGATGTGGGTAGATCTGGTAAGCTCTTGGTAGGTTGTGCATGGCCATGACAAACCTTGCTAAACCTTGGCGACCAGTTTCAATTTATGCAGCATATCAAAAAGTTCTTCTCACGGAATCGTTGGTAGGGCGGTGGGGGATGAGGGGGAGGAGGGAGGGGGGTGTTGGAGGGGGATGACGGGGGGGGGCAGGAAGAGGAGAAGGAGGAGGCGGTGACGGAGCATGTTATCATGTGCACCTCCACCCCCCCGAACCAACAAAAAACAAACATCAACAAAACACGCAATCACCCGCCCTGTTGTTTTTCTTTTGGGGGGAGGATGAAGAGGGATGGAGGAGGAGGATGAGGAGGAAGAGGAGGAGGAGGAGGAGTAGAAGGAGGAGGAGGAGGATGGCGAAGAGGGGTGTGTGGAAGGGGGAGGGGGGGGGGATGAGGAGAATCAGGAGGAGGAGGAGGATGAGGACGAGAAACAGGAGCATGATTCCTTGTTGTTCCTAGCCTTCCCACGAACAAGAAACACTGTGATCGCCCAACCAAACTGGGAACCTTGTATACGAACACACCAATTTTATAGGGGGAGAGGGGGAGGAGAAATAGGGGAACAAGAAGAGAGAAGGAGGAATCGGAGGAGGAGGAGGAGAAGGAACAGGAAAAGGAGAAGGGTGAGGAGGAGGAGGAGGAGGAAGAGGAGAAGCAAGAGAAGAAACTATGATCATAACACTTTTACGAATACCATACGAGGGACGCCACAACCACCCGTTCTCGAGGAGGAGGAGGAGGAGGAGGAATGTTGAGGAGCAGGAGGATAGAGGACAAGGAGGAGAAGGGCAACGAGGGATGAGGGAGTTGGGAGGATCTGGAGGGATGATGTATGGAGTAGGAGGAACAGACTGGCAAGAAGGATGACGAGGAGGCAGGACAAGGAGGTCTGGGAATGGGAGGGAAAAGATGGACGGAGGCAGGAGGAGAACGAGTAGGGCGGGGCAGGACAGGGAGGGTGGTCGAGGAGGGGATCCCCCCTCCCCCCTCTCCGCCCGACTGCATTGCCGCTTCTTACTCGTTTTTGTTTGTTGGTGGTGTGTGTATGTGTGTGTGTGAGTGAGTGTGTATGAGTGTGATTATGTGTGCGTGCGTGCGTGCGTGCGTGCGTGTGTGTGTGTGTGTTTGTGTGTGTGTTTGTGTGCGTGCGTGCGTCTGTGTGTAAAGGTGTGTGTGTGTCTTTGCTTGTGCGCTTGCATACTATGTGTATGTGTGTGCTTGTGTGTGTGGGGGGGGAACTTTGTATGTGTGTATGTGTGGGCGTCACTCTGTGTGTGAATGTGTGTGCGTGTCTTTCTTTTTTTTTGTGTGTTGGGAGGGGGGTGCTCCCGCCGAGGTGGCGGTGACTGCGCTCCCTTCCGCGCGGGACCAGCGGGCGCGTGGCGGAGAAGCGCACTCCACCGGCCCGCCCCCGTCAGGGAGGAAACAACCACCCCGACCCCCATCATTGGCGTCTACTGAACGGCCCTGGGCGCTTATTGAACAGTCCGGCCATCTTCGATTTCTTCTTCGGGTGCGTTTGCTCGAGGATGAATCCGTTCCAGAGCGTTCTGGAACACTCGGAGAAGGCCGCGGCGCCCGAGACGTGCTCCAGAGCCGGCAGATCTCAGAGGTCTTCGGCCGATCCACACCCGATTTTGCCCTCGCCCTGGCCTCGTCTTGTGCACGGCTTCACATGTCGAGGTGCTTCTTGCGAGGGTGTTTGTTTCTGCTCCCGATGGGAATACTTTTACCACTCCGCCGGAGGCCCGGGCGCGAGCGGCCCGGCAGGAACGCACCCTCGCGCGCCCAGGGAAGCCGCGGCCGCGCGCCCGCGCCTCACGCGCCCCCCGAGCCCGTGCAGCGCCCCGGCTCGGGCTGCTGCCAGGGGTGTCCTTGGCCCCAGTTTGCCACGACCCACCAGACCACCGGTACGGTAGGCTCGCGTCGCGTGGAGGAGGAGGAGGAGGAGGAGGAGGAGGAGGAGGAGGAGGAGGAGGAGGAGGAGGAGGAGGAGGAGGAGGAGGAGGAGGAGGAGGGGGGAGAGGGGGAGGAGCAGGAGGAGGAGGAGAAGGATCAGGAGGAGGAGGAGGAGGAGGAGGAGGAGGAGGAGGACGAGGACCCTTTCTGCCCCGCGCTGTCTGCGCAGGAGGTGGAGGGGGGGGCGGGGACAGAAGGGGCAAACTGCTGTGCTGGTAAGCCTGCCACCATCTGAATACCGACGCGCTGAGGCCGGGGGCACCTCCGGTAGCGCCCCTGGGGGCTCGAGAGACGGGTGTTAATGCAAACGGGGGTCAGTTGGAGGACCAGGTCTTGTAGGGTCCTGCAGAGCCAGGGGTGTATTGAGTTGGAGGACCAGGTCTTGTAGGGTCCTGCAGAGCCAGGGGTGTATTGACCCAGGCCTGTGTGCAGGATCTTGCAGGATACTGCAGGACCTTGCAGGATCCTGCAAGGCCTGGCGGACCCGTTTTTGAAGTGACCAGGGTTAGTAGATTCAGGGGTTGGTAGAGGGGGGGACCAGGGTCAGTAGATTCGGGGGTTCGTACAGGGGGCTTATCCAAAGGTTGGGTTAGAGAACGAATCCAGCCAGATGCTCACATTCCCTTTATTCCAGAAGCCGTTCACGGCGATCCCCCTCCGAACCCACCACTGCCCCTGCAGTGGAGACCCATGCCCAGAAACACCCTGCTGGCCTCCAGGGTGCCCTGGGTTTCTTGGGTCTCGATGGCTCTGCTGTGGAAAGCGTGACGTTCCCACACCAGATATCCATGGACGTCAGGGTTGGGCTCCTTCTGGGAGGTTGTTTGTGGTCGGGCTCCTAGTTACTGTACCCCACATTGACGCCCCCCCGATAGGTCCTCGAGCCCCCGCCATGCTGAGGGCGGGACCGTACAGTTTTGCGTGTGCCGTGCCGTGCTCGCGCCGGCCCCCCCCCCTTCCGACCAGCGCCGCGGCGAGGCAGGTCCGGTGCGGCAGGGCGCTGCCCGTGGAGCGCGCCGCCCCGCAGTTAACTTACTCGCAGAAGTCGGAACAAAAAGGAGTCCCAGCGTCTTACAGTCGGGCCCCGGCATGAGAGCGAGGTCGGTTCGGGGAGGGTACATTCTAGGCCTCCTCGATGGGGTCGGAGCAAATGGGGTCGGAGGACCATGCAGCATCGACGATGCATCGGCGATGCGGCTCGATGTGGGGCCCGATTTGCTTGACGTCGACGTCGCCGATACGTCGCCCACGTCGACGATGCTTCGCCAGTGCATCGCCGATGCATCGCTGATACATCGCCGATGCATCGCCGATGCATCGCTGATACATCGCCCGGGCATAAGAACGAGGTCGGTTCGGGGAGGGTATCGGGGGCGGAAAAAGGGGGGTGATGACTAGGGGGGGGTGGATGTCATGGCGGGGGGCATGATATTTCCCCAGATTTCATGGCGCCTCTTCTTATTTCATTATGTCCCTGGCCCCCCCGTTGGGCCGCGCACATGCCGCTGGTCATGATTTGCACCCCCCCCTCTTGGACACCCCCCTCTTTGCCGCTCCCGAAGGTACACACATATTCTTCGTGCTTGTGCTTGTGTGATGTCCCCGTGCATCCTGGGGAGGATATCTTTGGCTGTTCTGTGTGGTCTGGCCTGCGGAGGGTGTGCCTGAAGGATGTTATTCTGTCCCAGGTCCGACGGTAGCAGGGAGTCTTCCCTGAGGTGGACGAGGAGCCCGGTTTTATCCACGCCGACTTCGCCGATGCATCGCCGACGGCGCCAATGCTTCGCCGCTGCATCGGTGATGCATCGACGATGCAGCGCGATCTTCCTAGCCCATCTACTTTGACCCCATCTAGGAGGAGGCTGCTACCAACAACTCTCTCCTGGAACCCATTGGGGGCACTCGCGACAATGCCGTACACCACCACGTCGGAGTTCGCCGAACTCCGACGTTGGCCGAGCTCAGTTCACTACGCGTGGACCACGGCGCTTGCCCAGCCACGATTAGAAGGGCCCCCGCTGGGCTCCGGCGTTGGGTCTTTGTGGGAGCTTGCCGGACCCCCCCAAGGAAAGGAATATGCCACCAAGTCGAGGCAAAGTGCGGTCGAGGAGCCCGCGGAGGCCCCTCGCTCCGCAGATGGAGACGGAGGGCGTGCGACCTTACGGCAACGAAGCGCGCATGCAGGAGCAGTGGTTGAAAGACCAGTCGATCAAAAGTATACCACAAGCCAGTTTGGGGCGCACTGCACAGAACCGTACCCGTCAGCTGTGTGCAGACCCACTGCGACGGCTGTCCAGGCCTCCGCTGCTCATATCTATGCCTAACTGATTCCGCCGAGGATCGTGTGAATCCAGGGGAGAATCCAGCAGTACTACATGGTTTCAGGGATTTCTATGTGGATGCTATTGACACCGACTTCCAAGCAGCTGCCGACTTTGCCCCTCAGGACTGGTCACAAACAGCGCCCCCCCAAAGTTGACCTGGAGCACTGCAGGTTCCAAACAGAGACCCCGAGTGGACACCCGTCAACTTATAGGAGCCCGCGCAGGATGTACTTACCATTCCGATCCCAGCTCCGAATCCAGCTTCTGCTGGGCTCCCTTCTCTCTCTCTCTCTCTCTGTCTCTCTCTCTCAGGACCCAGAGGCCCCAGCTGAGCAAGAGCATGTAGAAGCATGTGGCCTTTTTGGTCCCACCCCCTCGCTTCGCTTCCCCCTCCCCGCCCTCCCTCACGGCAGCCTGGCTCGAGCGCGCCGCCTAGCTGTTGGACGCCTTCGGAGCCTGCTTGAGGCTTGGCGAAGGTCGGCGGGCCGTCTTCGATGGACCTGTTTTCCACCACCACCACCACCATAAGTTGGAGGGGGGAAGGAGGTGGAGGACGAGGAGGAGGATGAGGAGGAGGATGAGGCGGAGGAGGAGGAGGACCCCCTCCCCCTCCAACTTCTGGTGGTGGTGGTGGAAGACAGGCCCGTTAGTCTTGGGGAGACGTCGAGGAAGCCGTGGGCTGGAACGTTGCCACGAGTTCTTGTGGCCTTCGACAGCAGCTCGGACGCTCGCCCTGTATTGTGACTGCCCTGTGTTGATCTGGGCTTGGGGGCCTGCACTGTGCAGGGGGGATCGAGGTCTGGGGCGTTGATCTCGCGGGAAGCAGCGCGCACCCTGAAACGATGACAGCCTTGATTCGCCTACGAGTCCAAGCACATGTGTCGGAGCATGATCAGTAGTTGCAGATGCGAGGGTGTGGTTAAGAGGGCTACCGAAGACTGAGTATTGTAACGAACAAAGTAGAGAGGGAGGACGGAAACAGTGAATAATAAGATAGCCGACCGAAACACCAGCTGGGGACAACGATAGAGCGTCGTGTTGGAGCAAGGTTTAGACGAGCGCATGGAGAAACATATCGAAGCGTGAGGGCCAAGAAAGGATGATTCGCCTGCGTTGCAGAGAGCAGGCAGCGGACATTTCGACAGGAGGCCCGGGTAGCGGCTACTCCCTGCACCATGAGGCGACTGGAGTTTTTGTTGCAGCTTCATATCGTTCCCACCACCAGCCTAGAGAAATGAGGGGCCCCTGAGAGTGAGAGGCTCAGGGGCAACATCGGGGGCGGGACAGGCTCAGGCGGGGATTGCATGGACCCCTGGTCGTCCACTCATCACCGATCGGGGCTCGATATCCCTCCCCGCCCAGCAACGCGCAATTTCGGTGTCGGGGGCCTGCCGCAGATCAATCGAAAATGTGTCACCGATCCTCAGAAGATGTTTACCCTTATTGACCCAGTCCCCCCCCGACACTAGGCACATCAAACAAGAAACCAGCCTGCCAGCAGGGTGCCCAAGGAAGCTTCGTATCCCCCAGAGGCTTTGGCGATCCGCAGAAGTCTTGGGGCCGCTTGGGGAGGTTACAGTTGGACGGCGAATGTGCGATTACTTCTCTTAGAGAAAGAGGTCTTATCACAACTCGCCTGCTGTGTCGTGCCTTCTCAGGGGTGGCGCGCCAATCCTGCCCGGCGATGGATGTGGATGACGACCTCATGCCGCCGCCAGGCGGCCCTGCGGAGGAGTGCGGATCGTTCTTGCTGCTCTCGCGTGCGCGTCCACGTGGTGCTGTTACGTACCAGCCTCTCGGCCAGCACTGCCAAGCGCTCATCCGCAAGAAGTGTGTCAGCAGCGATCTACGTAGCACGGGGAATCGAGGGAACAAGAGGCCACGCCACCACCACTAGGGTGACCGCCTCCAGCGAGGGAGTCCACGATGCCTCCGCCGAGCTGGGGGCAGAGCTACCTGGAGCGAGAGGGCGGGGGCACACCACCAGGAGGACCTTCCCTGGCGCCTCGCGCTAGTGGTGGTGGTGGTGTCGCCTTTTCTTCTCCCTACAAAGAGAGTAAGAGCAGGGGTAAACTGTTGCGCGTCATTGCTTCTCTTCCTCGCCCTCCTCCTGGGTCTGATGTTGCATCGTGGAGTGTCCTCCCCGTTAGTTGGTAATTGAATTTCCCACTCCGAAATACACACATGAATAAGACACACGCGCGCACTTACAATTACACAACACAGCTTTGTTCCGGCCCCAGCGCACGGCGCTTCCTTCGATTCAGGGGCGCCTCCTGGGCAGGGAGGCGCCGGGGAAACCAGCTGCATGAGCTGATTCGCGAAACCCCTTTTGCTGGCCCTTTCCTTCGTCCGACCCGACCTGTTGCACGAGGTGTGTCGCCACGGGGGACGGGGGTCGTGGAAGTTGCTCGCTGGTTTCGATTTCGTAGTGCATCCGTGGGCCTGGGACTCGTCAACAGAGGATTCGCTGTGACAAGCCCGTTTTTGTAGGAAGGATCAGTGTCCAGGGCCTCTCTCCAGCAGGCAGGACTTTGTTCTCTCGTGCCAGACGGGTCGTTGGCGGACTGTTGAAGAAGTTCCGAGCGGGCTGCCAGCGGGCAGGATGCGTTGTCTTACGACTTCGGCTGTCAATTTGGATGGTCTTGGAAGTCCGAGGTTGCCAAGGTCAAATCGCAAACGTGTTCAACGCAGACCTCAAATTTGTATGGAATTCGGATAGCATTGGTCCCCCTGGACATTGGCCCTTTGTTCGGCATGTCGGCTGTGGTCCTTTTTTTCGGTGCCGCTGCTCTACATCTCGTCTGCATTGGGCTCAAGAACGGCCAGATCGGCAGCTCAGAGTAGTCGCGATCACAGAGTTGGCACCGTGTGTACCTTCGTGGTTTGCTGGTCCAGTCGTGCTCCCGCCAGTCGTATAATTTGGCTGTAAGGTTCGGACTAGTACGTAGTCTTTTCTGCCGCCTCCTTCAAGGGTCTCGTATCCTTCTCCGTCAAGGGTCAAGTATCCTCGCACGGCATCCCCACCAAAGGATTTTGGTCGATCACAGACCCATGCCGTCCAACCTTCGCCGTCTCACTTCATGCGCAGGGCAGATCGGCCCATGGCCCGAGGACGACTCCGATGACGGGGAGCTCCCCCCCGACATGGGACTGCCCGGGGGCTCAGAGCTCCCGGATGGAATTCAGAAGGAGATCATCAACGAGGAGGGTACGGTAACGATAGGAAGCCATGACGATGAAGAGCAGAATGCAGAAGTTATGAGGAGGTATTTCATCAATTGAGCAATGGGCCATGGCATGTCTGCGTTGGACTGGGTGATGTTGAAATTTCGTGCAAACCCACTGTTTATTTAGTGTGGTGTTTCTTTGTCGCCAGTTCGAGTCATGGTCGTGTTCGCCTCGTCTGTGACGCACCATCGGCGAACGAGCAGCCCATATCTCCGACGTGTTTTGTCAACGCGTGTTCCCCCGAGCTCTCGACCGCCCAGGGAGCAGGCTTTCCATCATCCTGGGCGACTTCCCGAGATGCCTGGGGCCCGAACGCGAAGTGTGCGTTTGGCGGCCGAAGACGGTAAAAAGCGTCGGCGTTTCAAAGAAACACGACGTCGGTGATATGGGACCGAGGCCGTGGCATGGGGCAGCTGCATCTTTGAATCGAGCAGCTTGGGGAGGCGACCTCCGAAGTGGCCCAATCGGCAGAGTGAAGGGGGGAGGGAGATGGAGGGAGGGGAGGAGACGGGGAGGGGCAGAAGGAGAGTGACGACGGCGGGAGGGCAGGATGATGTCACCAGCGGCGTGCAGGAGGGCCTGCCCCAGAACGCTCGGAACGGTAATCGTCAATCGTTCTGCGTCGCAATCTGCGCCCCATATTCTCACGGTGTCTCGGCTGAGATATTGAGGAACAAGTAGCACCAACATTCCGATCTCCAGAAACCCTGAGAACTTCCAGGAACTCCCAAATACGTCCTCGCCGTCTTTGCCGCTCTCCTCCCCTATCTTATCCTCATCCGCGCCGTCCCCCTCCTCTCCTCTCCCTTCCAGTCCTCCCTCCTTTCATCCATCTCATCTACCTCTCACCTCTCTCCTTTCGCATTCCTCCTCATTCTCCGCCTGTCCCCCCCCGCAGGGGGGCGAGGCACGCGTGAGCCGGCGAGCGACCCGCGCGGGCGCTGGCAGGCAGATCCCGACAACTGGAAGAGGCCGAAGTCGGGCGACGAGGCAGGCGTCCCGTCGCCGTCGTCGTCATCGTCGCCATCCCAGGGGCAACCAACCCTGGGGGGAGGGTAGGCTCGGTGGGGGGGGGGTGCATCGGCCGCTGATCGCCCATCCGATCGTCGAGACAGGGCCCCGGTAGCCCACCCCGCCCGGGAGCATGCGGGCTCGCCATCGGGGGCCCATCGCCGATCTATCGGCGACGAGTCGCCGATTCGAAGGATTGCAAAAAACGAAGGATTGCAAAAAAACAGGATTGCAAAAAACGAAGGATTGCAAAAAGGATTGCAAAAAAAACCCTTCGTCCCAGGATTGCAATCGAGGGTTTTTTTGCAATCCTTCGCTCGATGCCTCTCCCCCGTGAGCCAGTTTTCACCCATCTATCCCTCTCATTACCACCTCACCTCTCTACCCTCATCCTGCAGCACCCGCGGGGGGAGCAGGCCATCGGGAGAAGGAGGAGTGAGAGGAGGAAGAGCAGGAGGAGCAGTGCCGACACCACCACACCTGTCGTTGTTGTTGCTGGTGTGTTTGCACAACCTTTGCGTTTGCAACGGCGGCCACTTGCTGGGAATTTCCAAGCCGCCAGGAATTAACAATCGGCTTCACACCGCAGAAACACTCCAGAGGGTCGGGGATAATCGGAAGGAAATGGACGGCTGGGAGGCAGGGATTTCACGTTGTTTGTTTCGCTGGGGTCCCGGGGGGACCTCCTCGCCAACGCTAAATCGTCCTCGAAGTCCCTGTGAGAAGGCGATGTTGGAGTGTGTTGGTAGGCTCTGGGCGTGTGTTGTCCATGTCTGCAGCTTCTAGTCAGTTTTCTGAAGGGTTCCAGTTCTGTTACCAAGTGACCAGATTCACGGACGCATGATCAGTGATGCACCTCTAGCTGAGACAAAGTGCGTCAGAACATCTCCAGGCAGCTCATCGCTAGTAGTGTTTCGCGCGAGGTGACGGTCCACTACGTCGGCAAATTGGCGTCCGACGGATCGGTGTTTGACTCGTCGAGAGACAGGCAGACGCCGTTCGTCTTCACCCTTGGCAAGGGCGAAGTGATCGCAGGCTGGGACAAGGCGCCTCGTACGTGAGTTTCCACTTGCCTCGCATTGCTCAATCTGTAGGCCGAGAGGTCATGCGGTGAGGTGAGCTGTCAGTTTGGGATGAGAGAGATTATCGTAGTGTTGAGTTTCTCTGGATGGCCATCAGCGGTGGAGATTGAACACCTTCTCAAACGCATCCCTCGGTTCGCATGCTTCCTCCAGGAGAGCGTATCGTTGCCATCATTCAGTTGCCGAGAGGTGTTCAGTTTCGACCTTAGGCCCCCCACTAGCTCTCGACCCGTTCCTTGACTGGAGTTTCGTTCCGTGCCGTTCTTTGGTGAGGTTGATACCCATAATCGAACCCCAAAGGCACATCAGTATACATATATTTATATATGTGTTGAAGAACGCTGAGACGAAAACAGCAACACGACGTCACACTGAGGTTCGAGCGGCATGTTGTTGCCACTGCTACTTTGGCGCGGACGATCATGGTTGAACGCTGCCAGTGGCTATGAAGTGGCCGGGACCGTACGATCTGCGCCACCGGAAAGCAGGGATCGTTCGAGGGCTCGAATGATTCACGCAGTGTCAAGGACCAACGCCGATGTCGTCACGACATGAGCTTGCCGTACGTTGGATGGGACTGGTGCCATGCTGAAAGACCCGACCGTTTGCGACCGAATGCCCCTGGTTGGCCGCTCATGGAGGTCGCGTCCTTCGGGTAGACATTTCGAGATCCCGGCGTGCTCCAACCCAAAATCCCGTGCCCAGCGAACACCGGACGGAATTGTTCCCGTCGCCTGACCCCCATGATGGTGATGATGATGATGATGATGATGATGATGATGATGATGATGATGATGATGATGATGATGATGATGATGATGATGATGATGATGATGATGATGATGATGATGATGATGTTGATGTTGATGTTGATGTTGATGGTGATGTTGATGTTGATGTTGATGTCGATGCTGGTAATGATGATGATAATGATGCTGATGTTGATGCTGATGGTGATGATGACGATGCCGATAGTGATGCCGATAGCGATGGTCATGGTAATGGTCAGGTGATGATGGTGATGGTGATGGTGATTGTGGTGATGATGATGATGGTGGGGAGGAGGAGGAGGAGCAGGATGGAAGGCGTGAAGGAGGTAGGAGGGGAATGACGAGGAAGAGGTGAGCGAGGATGAGAGGCCAAGAGGGAGACGTGGGCTGAGGGGGAGAGGGAGGATGAGGAGGACCAGCAGAGTGGGTGGACAGAGGCGTTGGGCACCTTTTTACGCCTCGCAGCCACGCGCCTACCTCACTGGACGCTCCTGGTGAAAGGCGGGGGTGATGCCCCCATCCCAGGGTCCAGGACCGACTTTCCTCAGGCCCTCCGTTCCCTCATGGCGACCACACTGCGGTCACCAGAGGGCCCCTCCGTTGACGCAGAGGTCAAGAAGGCGGCCCTTCGTGGTCCATTCTTCAATCTCCTTCCTCTCTGGTGCATCCTCGATCCTCCCTTCTCTCCTCTCCTCTCTCACCCCGTTCCTCCCCTTCATCCCGTCCAAAACCCTCCCAACCTTCCCTGCCTCACCCACACGCACCCTTCATCCCCCTTCCACCCACTCCTCTCCAACTCGCCACCCCTTCCCATCCCCCCCTCCTCTCGACAATTTCACCTTATACTCTCCTCTCTCCCCTGAACCCGTCCAGAAGGTGACCGTATCTCTTCGCGCAATGGAACATTGATGCCCTATTCTTTTTTCCAATCGGAAGTTTTTCCGGTAAATAGCGTTCCCGCTGCAGCGTGGGCACTTTTGTTTCCTGTTGTTCAGATTGGCGCTCTCGCCCCAGAGTTGGCCATGTGTCTTGATCCGGGACCATTTTCTATTTGCATCGCCCCCCTCAGTCCCCCGCCTCCGCCTTCCTCAGAAGTTGCTGGACAGGCTGGAGGTCGAATTAATGATGTCCCGGTGCAGGTGACTGATGATGTCGCGTCGAATCCTCGTGGTGCTAAGGTTCAGTACTTCTTGGCTGCTGCAAGACTTAACCACCAGCGAATGACCCTCCAGCTGAGATCGATTTCGCAATGCATTATATTTCCAATATTGTGGTTACGGGTCCTTTGAATGAATATGGCGTGCATGACGAGATATTTGTTTCTAGTGGTGCATGTGTGTTGTGAGAGTCCCATGGTGATCAGAGATACGCACCTAACTAATTAATGGTGCCCATGTTGGTCCGAGTGTTACTTCGCCGAAGTCAACGACATCTAGTATGGACCGTCTTGCAGCTCGGGTGTCGGCATCCTTGTGCCTGCTGGCAGGAGTATGGATGATATGTCGACGTCTCTAGTGGTGCCACAGGTTGTCTCTAATGCTCCTGCTGTTTCCTCCTCGGGCCCTTTCTCGGAGGCTTACCACGACGACGGTACCATCGACGATCGTATCTCGATCTGAGCCCGTAGTTTGTCACGGTAGAGCACACTCTCTCGGGGTCCGTCCTGCGTTCTCGGCCTCAGCCCTCGGTCGTTTCGAGGCCCCTCGATCTCCTCCCCCTCTTGTAGCAGACACCGTCTGCTACAGCCGTCGGCGCCCGCCTCCCCCCCCTCCCGCCTTTCGTGGTAGTGGGCGATTTCTTGAACTGCAGCGTCTTGGTGCACTCCCCCCTCCTGCCTCGGGATCCATATTAGGGCGGGGGCCTGATGTTTCGGCAGTTTCTGTTGTGGCGCGTCCGTCCACGCCGGATCTTTCTGCTTCCAGGAGGAGTGCCCAGATTGTGTTTGCAGTTCAGGCTCGTGCGCAGCCCGCGAGTGTCAGGCTGCTTACAGCTCAGGCTCGTGTAAGGCCGTTTGTGGAGGGCGAGGGAACGATTTCGCGGGTGCGTGCCTAGTGTCCTTCCAGGGGCCCTGCCGTGTGGAGGGGAAGTGCCATGAGTCGCCCATTGGATTGGGGGGCGTCTGCAGGTTCGTGCGTTTTCCCCGCCAACAGGGCCTTTCATGTGGGAATTTGTCTCTTGCAGTTCTTAGATCCAAACTCCTTTAGCCCTTCACCTACGGAGAAACATCGCGTTCCAATGTGATTTGCGTCGCTTTGCCTCCGACTTCCCCTGGTCCTGCTGCTTCTCCTCCTCCCGCTCCAATTAATGTTGCTGCTGTTCGTCCTCTCCCTCGCACCCCCGAGCACCCGTGGGGAGGAGGGAGCAGCCGCACGCCGCGGCTCTCCTGGTCAGAGGGCTGGAAACGAAGAGGTTCTGGCGGCGGCGGAGCAGCGCCGCGCCAGCACAGAGCCGACATGCAGACGGCGGCCGCCACCGCCTACAACAATTGGCGGCGCGCACAAGGGGGTAGGGGGAGGGGGGAAGGCTTCTTAGAAGGAGGCTGCTTCTTAGAAGGCGCCGGCTTTACATCTGCAAAGAAGGCCCGCGCCTTCTAAGAAGTAGGGGTGCTTCTAAGAAGCCTTCCCCCCTCCCCCTACCCCCTTCTGCGCGTGGCCAGAACAAGCTCAAGAAGGACGAGCCCAAGCGTGCCCACTACGAGGCGTTCTGGTCAACACTGGTGGCAGCTCAGCAGCCAACAGCTGAACCACCAGTCGGCCCGCGGGCAGCGGAAGCAGCAGCACGCAAACCCGTCAAACTCTAGAGGCGGATGCGAACAGCAAGAGAAATACTCGAGAACGCCAAGCACCACATGGCATATTGCGAGCGCAGGCGCAATGAGACGATGGAGGCAGCCACCGAAGCAGAGGAGGAGTTCGACAGGGTCAAGGCGCAAGCCGGCAACCCAGGACACGTCGGAGAAGCTGACGCATCGGCAGTACCTGCCGAGAAGCCCAACATCAAGTGTCCCTTCGAGCAGTTCGAGCGCGAACCCGACGACTTCCACAAATGGGGAAATCAAGAAAACAGAGATATGGCGTGCAGCAGAGGCGAGAGGAAAAGCCATGGCAGCCAAAGCCAAGGATCAGGAAGAGGCCAAAGCAACCACATTAAGCACCTCGCGGACGAGACGGCCAACCACCAGGAACAGCTGCGCAAGATCGAGCAGGCCTGCATCAAACGCCAACATGAGCAGGCAGCCGCCGACAGTGCAACCAACGAAGGGCCGCAGGGCAAACGCTTCTGCCTTAGCCCTGCCCCACAGCGAGACCTTCCTGGAGGGGCCGAGGCAACCCCCGCCGCGGCAGCAACCCCTTGCGCCGAACCCGCTGCGCCAGCGGCAGCAGCCAACGGGGCCAGGAAAGGAAGGGCGGGCGGCAAGGCAGCAGACGAGAGGAAAACAAGAGTGGAAGAGCACATTCAGCAGGTCCGCGAGATGATCACCAACGCCGAGTGAGCCACGGCGCCAGTCGTGGAAGGGCCAGGCGATACGGCCCCAGGGTAGTCGCAGGAGGGCGAGGGGGAAGAAGCCTCGCCGACAGTTGCGCGTGGACTTCTCTCGACCACGCAGCCTGGGGCCCCCAGGCGCAGCGCTACTTCGAGGAGGTCATTGACATGGGGGGCCGCGACGTAGTGGGCATCGCGGAATGCCGCCCGCGCAAGACGGCCCCCATCAGCAAGGCCAAGGCATCCCAGCGCAAGACTGGGTCGAGAAGCTTCCGGACGAAGGCGCGACCAGGAGAAGGAGAAGCCAGCAGAGGAGGCACCTGCGCCATAGCCAAAAGCACGCTGGAAGTCCAAGATCGGCATGCTGGACTTGACGACGCCTGCCCAAGTGAGGAGGGCTGCGACATCGCAGAGCTAATCGCCAACCTGCAAAAGGTTCGCTTCTCGGCGGCCCTGGCACACCTCGAGTGCAGCGTCGGCTCTGCAGAGCGCAACGTTGACATGCCCTGCGACTTGCGCGGGAAGGTGGCAGTCCGGGGAGGCCCTTGGGCAGCTCTAGGAGACTTCAACTTCGTGCCGGCGGAGCTCGCAGCTACCACCTGGCCCGCGGCGCTGGCGGCGCAGGCCGTAGCCGCCGAGAACGAGGCACCTGCGCGCTCTCCAGCTGAAGGCGCCTGCCGCTGCATCGACTACGCGATGATATCCAAAGAC